TCATCCCACTGGAATCAGCCCAACTCTCCAACCCATCCAGGTCCCTCTGCAGAGCCCTCCTGCCTTCCAGCTGATCGACACTCCCTCCTTTGTCCACCTCCCAGCCTCTTCAACAGAGGCTCTTTTTACAAAATATTTTTGAAAAACACTCTTTCCATCACATGCTCCACCACGTGCCATGTTTAATCTCTGTGTACAAAACACACATTCTGTACCTGGAAGAGAGCCACACCAGGCTGTGGGATCTGAACACCTGAGGTCAGCTCACTGTCCTTGTGTTGCTGAGGCTGCCTCGTTTTGCCCTCACGGCGGAGCCCTGCCTGTAAAACACTGCATTTTCTTCAAAAAGGCTCCTGTGTGCACATGTAAGGAGCAAGGCCACAGGCTGATTTGAACACAGGCTCCAGATGCAGCATCCACAATGCCAGCAGTGGGCCACTAGGCCAGAGAAACAGACCCCTGCTCCCTTTTCCACCAGGGACAAACACCCCCAGCTCCCCCCTGCAGCCTTTCAGGAGATGAACTGCTTGGTGAATGCTCCTCCTCCCTCACTGTCCAAAGATAACAACAAGGCTGGAGCAGAAAGCAGCATGAGAAGCATCATCTCTTACCAGCCACATCTGGGAAACATAGCTGGAGATTTCTGTGATAAACAAAGTCTTGTTTCTATAAGTTTTTGAATAGGCTGTTTTATTATTATATGGCAAAAGCAAGCAGCTGGTTGGGTGACAGAAATGGGGACAAGTTTCCCAAATCTGCACACACACTACAGTGTACATTTGGCATTTATCTTAGCTACTTCATGCATATTAATTATATCATATACATTTTACAGTTTTTTGCTAAGCATTTAATATATGGGTTTTCTTACAGCTAAAGCTAAATTGTTATCTCTACAACTGGTCATAATTCATGCATTCTTGGACAAACAGCTGCCTAAAAGATTTAAAGTTCTACCGTATTTTATTCTTAGGATAGTAGGGAGGTTTTAGGGCCCCTTGACCTTGTAAGAGTCTGTTTTATTTCTTTATGGGGTGTAATTAAGTTTTACAATTCGGGTTTTTTTATTTTGATGTAATGACCCATTTGTTTCACGAATCACAATTATTTATCACAACCACCTAATAATTCAGTCAATAACAACAGCACCTAGGCGAGTGATTTCACACAGCCAAGAATTACACAAAACCAGCCTCTGTAGTCACCTTTCTGCTGCTCCTCTCCTCACTTAATAGGGAAAACTCTACCCTGTTTTCTGTTACAGTTACATGATGCCCATAGTACACACTGGACTTCTGATAAAGATTATCCTTAACCTTGCCAGTTTTCGGGAGAAACTTGTAGAAAAGGGTTGACTGAAAAATTTCGCAGTAGGGGATTTGTGGGGGCAGTCCAAAAACTGAACACTTTTGTTAAGAGCAGAACACCTCCATCAGGGATCAGGTTTCTCAACTGCTGGAATTGCCCTTTTCTCTTCAAAGATACAGAACCTGAAATTTGAACCCTGAGCAAACACCCAAGCTTTTAATATTCATCCCAAATGTCTTGTCTTTCAAAGGAGCGCCAGAGCTGTCTGACACCAGTGACCCGAATGCCTTTTCCTCTGCCTGAGGCATTTGCACTTCACTCATCACATCTTTACACGCTTTTAAATAACAACAACTTGTTGCTTCTACTGATGTTACCATATGAAAGAAAAGTGGTGTCTTCACCAGGAAGTATTCCAGTGGAACAAGCTTCCAGTGAAGTGCATCATACTGACTCAAGAGATCAGGTAAATGTTAGTAGTTTGCTGCAAGAACTATCAGCACCATTTAGGATTTCAGAATATAAAAGCTGATGACCTAGCAAAGCCAGACGTTTTTTGTTGCACGTTGTGTCCCTCTGAATCACAACTGCGAAGTGACACAAGAGAAGCTACCCGAGAGTGATGACTCAAAGACCCAGCCCTACAATTTGTTAGCAGAAATACCGTGACCGTGGTGCAAGAACTAGCTTGTACCTAGCCCTTTTCTCTGCAGAGGAAACTTTTACAGCTGACCACGCCTCTGCCAGGAATCAAAAAAAAGCAAACTCCAAAATTTGCAGTGCCTTCTGATCTATAGCTAAACAAGCTACCATCATGATCCATGAACACTTCCCTTCTTGTCTCCTTGCAGGACTAAATTTCCTGTTTTCTTTCTTAACACACATGTAAAATTAGGCTTCTCTTTGAGACATCCTCTCTCTCTCCTCACCTCCATTTCAAAGCAATCCTTAGCCAGAAATGCTTGGAGTATATGACCAGAGGATTCCCAACCCCGGTGTATAAAAACTAATTTGTAAGCAAAGAGGAGGGGGAGGGATTTTATGTAACATCCAAAGAACAAGAGTAATGCATTTATACAAAACAATTCCCTTATCGCTCCACACCACAGGCTTTTACAGCTGGCATCATATAGTAGTGGCATTGAACTTGGAGCTTAGGACTATAAATGTTTACACATGCTTTTATTTCCTATCCTGCTACCCTGACTTCTCGTTCCAGCAGTGGAGGGACTGGAATTTCCCTAGGAAAGAGCAAGAGAAACATACTTTGGATACCATTTCAGTGCACACTGTAAAGAGTTCACAGCATGGGCCTGCAATTCTGAAATAGGATGGAAGCAGATGGCACCACAGCCTCTAGGTCACCTTATTTTTACTTCATGTGCTTCATACCAAGAAGACATATTTAAACTGAAAGCGACTAAAGTCTAAGGTTTTTACTGAAAGAAAGTAGCACAGAGCATATTTAGGCATGGAAAAAGAATTTCTGTTGTCAAATCTCTTTTGCTCCTTTCTCAAACCCCCTCAATATCTGTTTTTGTATTCATTGCCAAAATGAACTTGTTGTTATCCTTTTAGTAAATTAGGTATTCTTTACTAATTGCAGTACATGCTCTTGTGAGCACTGGTAGCTGACTGGTTCTCAGCTAACCCTTTGCTTTTGAAACAAAAAGTTTTTGCGCAGCTCCCCTTAGTCCATGGGTGCACGGACTTCTGCTTTTAAAATATGGCTCATCTTACATTTCCAGATTTCAAACCCTGGAAATGTATGCAACAGCCCAGCTCTGAACTACCAAGCCCTCTGAGGAGGGAGAGACAAGAGTACAGCAGATCAAAACCAAGCAGGCTAGTTCTAAGTAAATTCATTGTTAAGCAGTCTGTTTGGCCCTGACATTTGTGTCCTCTATTCTTAGGCTTTCTGAACTTTAGAACTTTTCCACAACCATTTTTAGCTTTACAGACACTTTCATTTTTATTTCATAAACCCAGCTGTGCACTACTGGCCTAATTCAGCTTAAGATCTGAAGTAGGAGGGATATTCAAATCAGCCACCGAGCCCACAAAGTAAACGAACCAGACCTTTAGAAAAGGAAATGCATGGTGAAATATTTCCTTCAGTCTCTTTTAACACTTTTAATTGCCCATCCTCCATTGCTGTGCCACCTGGATACTATATTTTTTTTTGTTCCACTGACCTGCCTCACAAAACCAAAAAGCTAGTTACCGAAAGCCTTTATAAAATCATGTTTGTTTTCAGTGGAACTATAACCTGGCCATTGCTAAAATGTGGCCCTACAAAGATTTAGCGGAATTCCTGCAAATTGATTGGATGTATAACGCTTGTTCCTTTGCATTTCCAGCTGGCTCTTTATCCCGGCAAGCTCTTCACTGCAAACGGGACTCTATGGCTTTGCTCAAGATAACTGGACACAAGCAGATGGAGCCTCTTCGACTGCCTCTGGGGGAATATACTGCTACCTAAGAGGGAAGCTTTTGTAGCTGTTCTGGAAGGAGAGAAAACCAGGAAGACTATGGCTGTTATCAGAAACAGAAATGCAAAAATAGTTCAGCTACTACCTAACCCTAAGGGAAAGAAGATTAGCAACGAATAAACAGGTAAGAAACAACAACTGTTTCTCATTACTTATGCAACAGAACAAAAAAGCTATCTGGTTTCAGCTACTGGCTACGTACAAAAGCAAAGCATATCTATATGCATAATATTGTTCAAATTGTTTTATCTAGAAGTTTGCTAGAGCAGTAATGCTGCTAGACCACTCAAGCTCTGCAAAACTTGCTTGATTTTTCTTTCTACAACAAGGCAAAAAAGAGAACCTGCAAGAGTGGAAAGGTAAGGGTGTAGAGAGGAGAAGCCACAATTATGGGAAGCACACAGCAATGCGGAGGTTGGCTTTGATGCCAGAATTTAACACACTCTCCCAAATGAGGTGGGGAAGTTCAAGAAGGAAAATAATTAAGTTTATGAAGAAAGATTCTAAGTGGTAGGCTTACAGGAGATAATCTTTCCAGCAACTGAGGTCACTCCTAACTCAGAAGATTTTTGTGGATGAAGGCGCATGTTTGGCATACCTATAAAGTAATCGACTAAGGAAATCTATTGCTCAACAGTGGTATGCTCCTAACCATATAGGCACAGTAAATTGAAAACCACTTAATTTACATCAGGCAACAGTTCCAGCACTCAGGTCATCTGCATAAACAACAATACACCTCTGCAACAGATGCACCAGGAGATTTTTATGCTGTGCAGCCCAAAAGTGCAGGGATGACCTGCACGCGGTAAGAAGTGATTCTGGCCGATGCCTTCGGTGTTGACTCCTTCAACATTGGAGGAACTTCAAAAAACTTCAACCACCACGGTATTTTTACCGTATTTACTCCGTATTACAAGACTAGTTACACGGGGAAAAGGAAACAAACCTTATTAGAAACAAACAAACAAACAAACAAAAAAACCCCACTAGACCTATGAAACCATAAGGCCTCTGCAGATTAAACCTCGGCATCCTTACTTGGTTATTGCCGTGCGGAATTCCGATCTCCTCGGCAAATACAGGAACGGTTATTTAAGGATTCCCCAGCTCTCCCCGGAGCGCCGCGGGGCTTTCCCCGCCCGCCTCTCCCGTGAGGCGGCGTCGGGCGGGACCGAGCGCTCGCCGCCCGCCCCGTCCTGTCCCACCGCTCCGGGGAGGCGGGCCGAGGGTCGCGGCTCGGAGCCGGGGGGGAGGCGATGGCGGCGGAGGCCGCCGACCCGCGGAGAGCCGGAGAGCTGCCGCAGCTGGTGAGCGGGGCCGGCTCTGGTGGGGAGCGGGGCCGAGCTGGGGCTGCCCTGGCTGGGGGTCGCGGCCTGGCCATGGGTCTGCTCGTACGGCCGGCCGGGAGGGGCGGGCAGCCGGGCGGGCCCCCCCCTTCTCCCTTCGCTGTCTTTATTTCCACACACCCACCCCCCTGCAGGCGGAAAATCTGCTGTGTCGGCTGCAGGAGAATTTTCAGGCTCTGACGGAAAAGTTAACGCTGAGAAATATCCTCTTTGGAACGCGGGGTAGTTGCACCGCCGGAAGGACTGCGGCTCCTGCGGCTGGGGTCCCGTATGGGGCGAGCTTTGCTTTTAACATCGGGATGGGCTTCTTTCCTAAACATCAAATTAACGTGTAATGACTGACGTTGCTAAACACCTATGATGTAAAAACAGCTGAATTGCCCCCCCTCCCCCAGCCCATTTATTTATCCCTTTTCTAAAGAAAGAAATCCCAAAAAAGGTTTTACTACAAGTAGCGAAGTAGTCTCTGTGCGGCAGTTGTTTCAAATAAGCATCAAATTATATGTAAAGATTCTGAAGGTACATAAAAAAACCCCACAACCATCTTCAAAAATGCAACTCAAATTAGCCATGTGGTGTTGGTTTGAAAACAGCTGTTGGCCTCCTGAGTGTGGCAAGGTGAGCCCTCAAAAAGAGAAATTAAGACCTGAAGGGGCTCTGCGCTTTTTCATTTGATATACTTACAGAAACTACCTCTGCTTTCTGAAGCTGCACATTTATTACATTTTTTCTGAAACTCGGCATTTCAGGAAGCAGCTGCTTTAGTGTAAGAGAAGAATAATGTTTTAGCAGCACTCGTATTCTGATTGTGTAGGTTGACGGTATGGTATCACCTAAAATAGTTCCTCAGAAAGAAAACAATCTTTTAGACAGAAAATACTCCACTCCTGGATATATACAAAGGCTTTTGGTATTAAGAACTTGAGTGCTTGTCTGTTGCAAGAAAGTGGGATTGTCTTGTAACAATACAATCTTGAGCATACTTCATCGGGCATTAAATGTGAGTAAGTAAGATGCTGAGACATCTGAAAAAAAGGTGCTTGTTTTTCTTACAAAAACCTGTAAAATTATAGAATTCTTACTTATAAATAAGTTATCTTTAACTTTTTACTGGAAGAAATGGGTGAGCGCATCAATGACCTCGAGAAGCGTGTTGCTGACCTGATGACAGAGGCTGGGATAGAAGAGAACACTGATGAAGACTTGAGAATAAAGAAACTTAATTAAGTGTTTCTGTATTTTATATATTTCTACTTAATTTTGAATGATGGGCAAGAATTAGCATGAAAATAACGTTTACATATTTACATATTCAAAAGTGTACTTTTTAAAAACATATTTAAAATTATCTTGGATTTCTGTTTGCCAAGAGTTCAAGAATGCTACTAGTTTTACAAAAGAAAAACTGCATCTTGCTGCATCTCTTTCAGCTGAGTGCCATGTTTGAGGGGGGTAGTGCAAACTAATCCCAAGTATGTAAATTGAGGCTGTACATTTGTAATGAAATGTATGTGGCTTAAAGTGCTCCTGCCCACCATTCCTGTCCCTCAGGTATGCTAACCTAGCTGACTGAGGATTCCCACTGGTATAAATTTATGTACATGTGCTTTTAAACCTGCTTCAGCTTCCCAGCATGGCTTAGAGCACACCTCTTACATGCACTCTTAGTATTTATGAGACGGCCTTGCTTCCCTGTTCTGTGGATGCAGGTGATGTTGTCTTCCTGTTGTTGCACACTTTCCTGATTCAAATTGAGACACATCAATTATTCTTGTGATTGAGACTGCTTACCCAGTGAAAGACAGAAACGTCTCTGTAAATATTCTGAAGTAATTTCGGCCTCTATTCATTGTGATGCCTTTTTTGTGATAAGCTATGAAATAATTTTCAGAAACACAGAAAGACAATCTGCAAAGTTGTATTTAACTGTACAGAGATCTCCATATTTTCATGCTGAATCACATTCATGAATAATTAAATAACCTACTTACTCACTGTTTCTTTGCAGCATTGAAAGGAGGATGTGTTCAAGAAACACAAAGGCAGAACAGCACTGCATTGACTCCAGGAGTTTACAATCAGTGTCACATTGACAAAAAATGTAAAGAGAAAACAAACATGTTTGCATCATGTCATGACAGAATCTCAATTTATTTTTTTTTAAACTATTGCCCCAGAAAAAAAAAAGTAGAATGATGGATTTACTTATCTAAATGTGGCATTGTATTTCCTGGAGCTGAAAAGGAACTGTTAGTTTCAGAGAAGGCAAACCCACTATTTTGGATAGAGAACTAAATTCTATATAGTGAACTTATCCTATCACAAATTTTTGTAATCTATGAAAATGTATTTATTTTAATAATATTAAAATAATAAGATTTCTTTGTTGCCTTTTTACCTTTAATGTTCCAGAATAACAAGATCCTTCTAGGACAAAAATTTTTATTTGCATGTGCCATCTTCTTGCTTCTTTAAATGTTTTACATCACAAAATGCACCTTATTTGATGTTACTACAAAGGCGCCTCAGAGGTGAAATGAATATAAACCATTCTGCACTAAAAGAAATGGCAGTATTTGCACAGAGTACAGATGCTCAGTTGTTACTCTTTCACAAGCCCACTCAAAGCCACACACCAATGCAGATAACATCACCCAGGTATGCAGACTGTGCCAATTTCAGTGCTTTAATGTCAGCTGTTTTAATGAAAGAGTTTGTTTTATAAACTTTGAGGTAATGAGGAATTCTAGTTGTCAGATAATTCCTGAACACAACATGGTAGAGTCAGAGAAAACAGGACATCTGCATTAATTTTAAGGTTGTTGTACACCAAAACATTGGCACTCTGCAGGAAAGGTTTAGCTTGAAAGGTAGTGAGAACCTTTTACCATAAATGCAGAAACTGAAGCATTGCCAGGTGAATATCTAATGAGGAATAAATGCATCTATTAGAGTTTTCATTAATATCAAGAAATCATTCCAATCAATGCTTTAGTCAGTGTAGACTTGCAAGTACTGTCACACTGGGGCTGATGTGCTGGAGGACAGGCTGGAGAAATAAGCCATCAGGAACCTCATGAAATTCAAAGGCACGTGCTAAGCTGGGCTCTGGGACACAGCAGTTGTGAGGGGCTGGCTGGTACACTGCTTTGCAGGAAAGGAGTGGGGTCTGGGGGGTGACTGTGTGTCAGCAGGGTGCCCCGGTAGCAAAGGCTGCAGCCACTTGCTGGTCAGCATTAGCATAAGCTGAACCAGCAGGTCCTTCCCCTCATTCAGTTGCCATGAGACCACACCTAGAGCATTGTGTCTATTTGGGGGCTCACCAGGTCAAGAAATCTATTGTGAGGGAGTTACAAAAGAAAGCCACCAAGATATGGTGGAGTACAAAGCATACAAGGGTTTGAGAGAATTCTGGCATTCTGTTAGTTCAGCCTTTAGAAAAAACTACGGTTTCCTGCTGCCAACAACTACCCCCTGATAAAGCATGGGGAAAACTTAGAGGACTCTTGGAGGTGTTTTACACCAGAGAGTAATTTGAGACAAGCTGAAACACAGAAAATTCCAGCTAGATACAAGGAACGTTTTTCTACTAGGAAGGCAGCAGAATAGGCCTTCCAGAAAGGCTGAGGAATCTCCATCCTTAAAAGATCACAGAATCATCAGGGTTGGAAGAGACCTTCAAGACCATTTAGTTCAAACAAGGTACTTAACACTGGACACAGTCCTGGGCAACCTAAGCAAGTGGGACCTACTATGACTCGAGTTTGGTGGTCCCTGCCAACATAAATGATTGCAGAATTACCATTGTTGTATTGGGTCTAGCTGAGATAGAGTTCATTTCCCCATAGCAGCCCTCACAGTGCTGTGCTTTGCAAGGGTAGCCAGAAAGGTGTTGGTAACACACCAGTGGGTGTTACAGTGTCAGCACTGTAACATTTCTTCCCCAATTGAGAGCAAGATCCTGGCAGGGGACATAAGTAGGCCAGCTGACCCACACTAACCAAAGGGATATTCTGTACCATATGACATCAGCTCAGTGATAAAGGCTAAGGAAAAGAAGAAGGGGGTCACCCATTATTTTATAAATATTGCCTTCCAGAGCAACCGCTCCGCATGCTGAAGCCCTGCTTCCCAAAAAGTGGCTGAATACTTGCTAATGGGAAGTAGAGAATACATTTTTTTTTTCCCCTCTTGGCTCGTGTGCACACAAATTTTCGCCTTTGCTTTACTAAACTGCCTTATCTCAACTTACGAGTTGTTTTCCATCTTGTTTTTTCTCCCCAGTCCAGCTGAGAAGGGGAGCGATAGAGTGGGCACCTGGCATCCAGCCAAGGGCAACCCACCACAACTGTAAACCAGATTAACTCCAGTAGGAATTGGGACCCTTGTGTTTTACTTCTGTGACTCAGTCTAAATCCTGTAAAATACGCTTGACGGTAAAAAAGCATATTCTGCTTTGTCTTGTGACAAACTGGACCAAAAAGTACAGGTATCTCATTTCTGCGTAGGCTGGTTTGTTTTTTAATTAATCCTGTAAATATGCATGTATCATGTTAAAAAACAACCTCCCACAGAACGTCAACTCCAGATGTTGGCAGAAATACAGATAGAAATTTCAAGAGTCATGCCACAGTGGAATCCAGTCCAAGTCTCCCGAGTATGTATGCATTTTAGTATACCATTAGACAAACTGGAGATCAAGTGACAGAAAGCATGGCTCGTGGTTTCTTCAACTGGTGGCTGCGCAGCCAGCTCCAGAACAGCAATTATGCTTTGGCTCTGTAGAATCTACTGAGTACTTTAAACTGCCTCCTGTGTGCACAACCACCATGGAAAAGGAGTCCGTCACCACAAGTCAATTAAGCTGATGGGGAGAGGGTTGTGTGCAAAGTCATGGAAGATGTTTTCTCTGAGTTTTGTCAAATATTAATTATCTGATCTTTGCTAAATATTAATTAACGCACCTTAGAGTTTTATTCCCATTTTTAGTGGAAACATATTCTACACAAGTAAATCCTGAGAAAAGTGATAAGCCTTCATCTTCCAACATAATGGATTTGCATCCAATTACATCTGTGTTCATTCACAAATTTAATTAGCTGAAAAAAATTAAAGTGAATATGTGGAACTGTCACTTTATTCTTTTAAAAAAGCTATCGTTTTCCCAGATATTTTTGTAACAAAAGCAGACAAAAACAGTCAAAACGTTTTTCTCCAAACAGGCTTTCTGTGTACAAAAACACATAATACCAAAAGGACAACAGAGAGTAAAGTCTTTAAAAAATAAAACCCCAAAATTCAGCTACAATAGTACTGCAGTCAAGACAGTCACAGGCTTTGAGTCTTCTACTTTTCAAACAGATTTTAAACCTTTTAAATAATTCAAATTATGCTCAAAGTTCAAGGATTTGTAGGGTTTTTTCTTTTAATATACATATATGTACACACGCAATAATAAATTCAAGTGGATGCAGAGTTGAGAGAAAAGGCAGCCCAAAGAAACGTCAGTATCTGTATTTAGTGGAATAATCTTTTGGCGATACCACCAAACCTCGACCTTTGCGGGCTCCTCTATAAACAGTTTCTATAATGTCAATCATCTCTTGCTTATCTTCCATTGCCCAGTTGATCTTGTTGTTATTACCTGTACCTAAATCAATCATGATGTGTTTGTTCCTTTAAAGAGAAAGAAAAAAACCTCAAAGTTAATATGGCATTATATTTCAGAAATAAACTTTATATGCCTCTAAAATGCTTTGTAGGATTCAAAAGAAGCCTTTATAACATAAACAGGCTTTCAAAATAAGGATCCAAGAGAGAGTATTCACTCCTGTCAGTCAAGCTCACATTTTACTGCCAATTTCTAAAGCAAGAATAAGGATGGCAATAATGCCAGCAAAAATGGCTACTCAGTGCAATTATCCTTCAGCATATTCCTCGTTGTTTGTATATTTCTTTCCCACTACTGTCTATCTCCAGAGAGACTTCTACGCTTGTCAGTAGGCCGTTTTATCTCATCACCGTAGAAGTCTTAGCTCAAAAAAACCTTCATACTTTGGATTTATCTTTAAAGCAAATTTGACAAGCTTGACTGCCGTACTACTACAACATTCTGTACGTGTTCTGAGATTTAAAACTAAAAACAATGGATAATAAAACCAGCTTTCACTAATCACTTATCACTAATTTGTACTCTTATCAACCACTGTTACTAGGCTAATTGAAAAGCAAGCCATTTTCCTATTTAATCAGTTGACTCTTTTGTAAAGCAATGAAAATATAAGCATCAGTATGCTAATATACATTTAGAAATTATTTACTGAGATACTGTATTTGACAAACAAAAATGAGTTACATTCTAGAACCATCATGTACCTGAAGAAAAACATGACAGTACAGGGATCGTACAACTCGTACATCTTGTTGAAGTCTGGTACTTCAGTGATATCCACAAGGTAAATAACAGCAAAGTTTTTAACCTAAACAAAAGAAAAAGGAAATACAAAAGCAATATATATTACCAAACCTTTCATTATTGGTAGTACCGATTTAAACACATAAGCTTTTGTTATTGTAACATTAATTTTCTAAATTATTAAGTCATATAATGACAATAAACAGCCTTGCTTTTATTTTTAACCACTACAACCAATTAACATGGGAAATATTTTTAAATATAGACAAGATGCTCATTTCACATCCAGTATCAAGTGGAAAGATACTATGCTAAATCAACATCCAGAGAAACAAATGCCCTTTATATAGAGCTGAGACCTCACAGTGACATGCACAGCTGTAAACACATAGAATAACTGCTTTGTGCAAGCCAAGCTGACACATTTTGCCTCTGTCATCAGCTGCTTATAGACTTCAGAAAATTAATGATGTACAAAGCCCTAGTGCCTGCCTCCAAGCATTTTTCCCCCTCTATAACATCAAGACTCGTTAAATATAACAAGACCCATTAAATTAAAATAAAACTGATAATTTAATAAAGAACCTGGTAGCTTTTTTTGGGAGGTGCAAAGCTAAAACAGGAGCTTAAAAGTGTAATTGCTAATGAAAAAAAGACCTTGATGAGAAGCTATTCTCTGGGCAATTCTGGCAAAACCAGCTTTCATTTTGCAGTTAGTGAAATGTACAAGAATCCCTCCCCTTTAATGCCATAGTTAATGCCTTCATTCCTGCAAGAAAACCACATCACATTTTTGTTTCCTAGGTGTAGCATATTTAACCTTAAGTGGAATTAGGGGAAGTTTTGGTTTCTAAGCTTAGCTCATATGTGTACAGCAGAAATTAATACACTCGTACACATTAAGTTATAAGTCAGCAGTCTGCTAAAGTACACAAACCTTTAACTGTAAGGTATATTATCAAAAGCTCGTGCATTATACCCTGACTGCACAACTGTGCCTCCCCATCCTTAATTACACAATTAAACTAACACAATTTTGGTCCTTCCCATTTGACTACACAGAATTACCAAGCTGGGGTTAAACACACATGGTCTAAGATCTATGACAAACTTACTGTTTGTGACAGTACTTCCCACTAGTTCATTTTCCTATCAAAAGGAAAATGCAATCTGGAAATGCAGTGATGAGTACAATATCTCCTCGATATAACAGTGGTTTAGTTCACAAAACAGGATTAGATTGTATGAGAAAAATATGATACATTGTGTACCCTGTACTTAGACATCTTAGCAGGCACTTTACCTGAGGAAGTATGGGGATGTTTGTTTGCAAAAAAACACAGAAGCACATAGTAAATAAATTTTTATGGGCTGTTTCAAAATTATAAACAATAATCACACTTCAAAGATGTAAGTAAGTATTGCCAGCAAAGAAAGTAAAATCTCTCCTGAAGTGAAACAGCATTTAAATAGTTTTTACTGTGCTTTTATGGAGCCAGTTGGAGTCCTAGGTTCAGTCAGTAATCTAATGAAAACATCCATTTAAGCCACATTCTAAATCTAAGGCAAGAGGTAAAGCCTTATAAACTCAAGTTAGCCATAATATCATACCTTCTGAAGGGATCCTTCAAGCCCGTTTCAGTTTTATATTAAAGGTTTCTAAGAAGCTTAATGGGATGTTCAGAGAAGTGACTGAAGTTACTCCCTGGTTTGCCTTAGCAGGCAAAAGGCAGTTGTGGGGTTTTTGGTACTTTTTTAAAAAATAAAACACCTGAAGAGCTGTTTTCATTTTATCCTACCATTTCTTCTTCCACACTTCTGGAAATTTCTACAACATATTCAGCAATTTTGACAGAGCAAACAATCTTTGAAAATTTATTTAATTTGGCAATTAGAAAATATTTTTTAGGTAAATCTAGTATTAACAAAACATTCTTAAGACCTGTTTTGTTCACTGAAAGATTAGTCCAAGGAGATTTACATGTTGCACCAGACTACCACTACAAAAGCACTGTTAAACCAAAACTTTACTTCAAAGAACTGTGTACGCCAGATAGTACTGCAACAAAGAACCTTTAAAGTTAGTTTTATATTATACACATTTAATTTAGTTGAGCTGTTGGAGAACCAGAAATGCTTGTCTATAGCAGTGAACATCAACAGCCTAAGATTTCATAAAAGAGAAACAGACTGTCCAAGTCTTAAATAAGTTATTATATAAACCTTACTGAAAAGGACTGGATCACTCAAATCACCTTTGCACAGGTTATGTCCAAGTTATCACCATAATCCAAATATCCAAGACATCTTCCTTCTCTCCTACCTACTTTTACAGAAGTGAAACTGATGACAGTCGCCTGCTGGAAAGCTCGTATGAAGTCTAAAGCAGACCTTAAAGCTGGACTCTGAACTTTAGAAGTGGCTCCATTCTTTACCCCTCGCTTTCTTAATTTCAAATCTGACAAGATTACCACTCCAAAATGACTTAACTTGCAAGCCCATTGAACAAGGGTGTGTTTTGTTGAGTTTGGACACTGGCTGCCAAGGTTGCTCATGACATGGGCCTTGCACTCCAGTGCATGTAGCAGCAGGAGGTTGGGATTCAGGTCTAAGAAGGAAGTAGATAAAAACATGGGCAAGAGGCTAAATATGGAGAAGGTGATGCAGAAGCGCTGCAGTGGCCGCATCTACCATTTGGAGGCCATGCCACGCTGGGCAAGCTTGTCACCAAGAGACAAGCCCTGCAGAATTACTCAAATGTCTCTCTCTGCACAGTTTTGACAAGTTTTACAGCCTGAAGCAGCACTTACTGTCTCAGACACAATATTAGAGACAAGATAGGAGCAGTACACAGCAGCATCTGAGCTGGCTTCACACACAGCCAGCTCTAATTCACGAAGCTTTAGCTTAGGCTTCAATTTAAGCAAAAGATATTGAAGTATTTATGGATTCAGGTTGGTATGGATGCAGGAGTTGATCCATACTTGAGCTTACTAAGCATGTGGAGACAAACAAGGTTAACCACTCCCTGTTGGGACTTGAATCCATTGCTCAGACAGAGTTGTCAGTTCAAAAACTACATTCCTATACACAACAAACTTTGCTGTCCTGTCAAGGCAGTGGTTGCTAACAAGTTTTCTTTCTGACTTATATTGTGACTGAGGATATGGTATGGAGACCCTAGAACAAGAATTAAATACAACTCTGAGCAAGCAAACCACAATAAATAAAAGCAGTTGCAGTTGTAAGAATGAAGACTACACTGAGGTTGTTAATGTAAACCAAAATTTTACTGTACAGACAATATGCAAAAAACCTTGTGGTATTTTAGAAGTTGAACATGTAATAACACAATTTTATTCTGAAAGTACTTAACCTCATAACATACACTAAATATAGTAAATTTTTTACAGTTAAGTCTGCTACGTTCTGAAACAAACAAAACCAGAACTCTAGTGAGAGACCTCCTTTTGGACACCACAACCACCACCTGAAGATAAAAGCGTCTTCAGCAGTAAAAAAGAGACAGGTACTAACTATGTCTGACACTCTGACCTCCTTTATCTGTTTTTCAATTCAAAACTTTCTTTGTCTTTCCAGGCCATTGTAGCTGCTGTTCATGGGGAGAGGATAGAGTAGGAAATTAAGTCAGAGTGGGAAACTAAGTCAAAGAGCAATACAGATTCAAAATTTTATTACTTCCTTTCAAGGGATGGGGTTCAATTTTGCTGGTTGGGGTTTTTTCTCCCCCTAGTTACAGTAGCTTCATAGATCAGTCTACATTACTCATCATCATGGCTGGGCTTCACGAATGAAGATTTAAGAAGGACTCTACCCACGCTTGCTGCAAATGTGCTGGTGACTAAAAAGGCCAATGTGAGATAGACAAGACTGGTTGCAAAAGGCACAGCAGAAAGTCTCCTTAGGTGGTATTGGCAAGACACGATTCTTTCTGCTTTGTCTTTTCTCCTCAAGAATGATTCTGCCTGTGTTCTCAAAAGAAGCAGCAGCGTTACGTATAATGTCTCCATGTCTCCCAACTGGAGGCCAGAGTAGACCAGTTATGTTGATCAATATGGCCAAGGCTGAGATGTTGTTTCAGGGAGTCCTTGTGTCTCCTCTTCGGGGCTCCTCTCATGCGGCAGCCAATGGCAAGTTCACCATAGAGCACGTTAGGGAGGCGGTGGTCCTTCATCCTTGAGACGTGCCCTGCTCAGCACAGCTGTGTTCTCAGCAACATGGCCTCAATACTTGTGACTGCTGCCTGTTCAAGAATAGACTCATTAGTCACGTAATCAGTCCAGTGGATGTTTAGGATTGTACGAAGGCAGCTTTGATGGAAGTGTTCTAAGAGTCGCAGGTGGTGGCGGTAGATGACCCATGATTCGAACCCATATAAAAGAGTAGACAGCACAATGGCTCTGTAAACACTGATCTTTGTACTTTTCTTCAGATGTTTATTACACCAAACTCTTTTATGGAGTTTTCTGAAAGCACTATATGCCTTTGCTAACCTGTTGTCTATCTCTCCATCAATCTTACCATCCGAGGAGATGATGCTTCCCAGATAATTAAACTGCTGGACTGACGAGCTCTGATTTGCCAGTGATGATATGGGGATGATGGAAGACTTCCTGAGGTGCAGGTTGGGAGAAAACTTCAGTCTTCTTCAAGCTGACTTCCAGCCCAAAGAGCTCAGCAGCCTCTGCAAAGCAGGATGTTAAACGCTGCAGAGCTGCTTCTGTGTGGGCGACGAGGGCAGCGTCATCAGCATAAAGCAGCTCCCGGACAAGATGGTTTAAGGTCTTGGTGTGGACCTTCAGTCGCCTTAGGTTGAAAAGGCTTCCATCAGTACGGTATCGAATGTAGATACCATTTTCTTCATCGAGGTCTGCCGTGGCCCTTTGGAGCATCATACTGAAGAAGATTGTGAATAGAGCTGGTGCAAGAACGTAACCTTGTTTCACATCATTGATTATTAGAAAGGGCTCAGAAAGTGCATTGCCATATCTGACTTGGCCGCGCTGATCCTCATGAAGCACAATGATCATTTTGAGGAACTTGGGGACATTGCTCAACACACATATAGAAAAACCAAAAGTACATTATTGCCTAGCCACAGTTACAGGCTATTTTAATACTTCACAGAACTGTATCTGCTTGGGGACTACTATTAAATATTTAAACTGAATGGCTCAAGACTATACAGCAGAGGAATCTATAGGACCTTTAACATCAGGTACAGATTCTGTATCCTATCTTGTTGAAGACCACACACTTTGCTGGTACACAGGAAACACTGATGTAGGAAAAATCATATGCCAGTATTATCTGTCCTCTGAAGTTCTCCCTCCTGACTTTCTTCAATAATTATATCATTCTAAAAAAAAATTTATGCATTCCTACAAGATGAGATTGACATGGAAATGATTAATGACTGGGATGAACGGCAAAAATCATGAAGTTTTCTGAAATTTCTGTCAGAGGTAAGTAATACTCTTCTTTTTTTTTTTTTGTTCAGATTTAAGCTGCCCTTGCGAAGCAAACCTTACATCCCAAACCACATACAGCAAATATCTCAGAAAAACTGAGACAAGATTCCATCTTTTCATCTTCCTAACCAGTTTCCAGACAGTGTTTTTTTCTGTTTACATATTTTATGGACAAGGAACTTACAGGAAAAAAATACAGGAACTGAGACTAGCTTTTGCAACATATCATTCAAGTTGAAAGCAAAGAGCAGACTAGCATTACTGAACTCAACAGAGTAAGTACAAACTTAAAAGTCTGTATTGACTTTTTTTTTCTTGCTAATTATGCTGTAAGTTGAGGTGATAAATTGCTACGGGAAAAGAGAAAGACATTATACCAAGAGCAACACTTACAGCTAATAATTTTGAAAACTACATCAGTAAATGATTAGCCTTGCTCAACTTTAATTACAAAATCACCAGTAACTACAATACCAATATGCTTTTTTTATAGCTCCCTCTTTCCCTGCCCCACATTGTTTTCCTCTCACACTTTCCATGTAACCTTAGCAGAAATGCAGAGGCACAATTAATGTCTGAGGAAAAGCCACAGCTTCTCACACTTCTGATTATGGTTAAATAAATGCTCAACATTTGAACAATCCTCCCTAAACCCACACTGACCCAATAAAACAGTTATCTGATTTACAGTATTCAGTCATAGATAAATCATGGTTTATCACTTAAACAAGGGGGTATTAATTTAGCGAACAAAGCCCTGTATTTCAGGGGATGGGGTTTTATAATTGTGAGTTTCCTTTAAAGAAAAAAAAAAGTATATTTTGAAAAAAGGTGTTCAAGAGGAAACTTGTGGAACTCAATTCATACATGTCTGGTTGAAACCCTGACAAGGCAAAAAATCTAATATCTTACAATTACTGTTTGTTTTGACATTCAGTGAAACCTTGCTTCTTTTTCATGTAGCACTGGAGGGAAAAACAGTCAACTGCAAGTGGAGTACATTTCAGTGAATATAATCTACTTTGTATTTTCATACAGCATTCCAGTTTCCTCCTCCCCAAAAGGATTCCTGTTTTCCTATCATAAAGTACAAATAAATATTACTGCTACCCAAAAATATGCTGCACTCTAAAAGAATATTGCACCATGGTAACAAACGTAAAATATGACTACATTGTCTTTGAAAGTCTACTGCAATTAAAGGACGTTAACATTCTGAATTATTCTCCAGTATAAACACCTGTACAATTGGAACTTTTACTCACTCTTTAAAACAGCAGAGATCCAAACATGGCTTGTAAGCAAGAGGATGAGGAAGGATCTCCCCCTTTAATTTGCCATTTCTGCAGAGGGAGATTTTTAAATAAGAAGTTACATTGTTCTTTCTTCCCCCAGTCACCCCTAACTGCCAGCATGTCTGCCAAATTGCCAAGCATCCTGCCACAAGTCCATACTAACAGTATCTGAGCATAAGACACTCCCACCACACTGAACACAAAACAACTAAAGCAAAACAAGTCACAACTCCTTAGTGTATTCTATTATGCCTTAACACATGGCTGGAGGTATAGATCTTTCATTGTGGGGATTTTCAAGACACAAGTTAATTTATTTAAAAATAACATCAGAAGACAGTGGAGTACACCACAAAAAGAATACCATATCAAGCTATGCAGCATGCCTAGAATTTTATATGAAGGCAGCAAAGTTGTGGATGCCCCATGCCGACAAGTGTTCAAGGCCAGGTTGGATGGAGGCCTGAGCAACCTGGTCTAGTGGAAGGTGTCCCTGCCCAGGGCAGGGAGGTTGGAACAAGATCTTTAAGGTCCCTTCCAACCCAAACCATTCCATGATTCCTATGATAGCTGACATCTTTTCCTACCCAAGTTACCATTTATGGCTCAGGTTTTTTTGCTGCTTTTTTTCATGTGGTTCAGTTATAGTTATCAATTTTCTACATCTATCGCTATGCAAAACCTTTAGCAAATATATGAAAAGGTAACTTCTAGCTGATTGTGTATTTTAACAGTCTAATTTTTCTTCAATATCTTTCTTAAGTAAGCAACTAGCTGTCAGCAAGCATTCAGTTTCCATCTGAAAACAGCTTTAGAGTTGGGCTCCCAAAATTTAATTCACTCCATGCAACTCAAGAGGAATGCTATCTGTCTCCACAAATATCACTGACAGATTAATCACAATAATAACACTGACAAATTAATCAACACTATCCTGTACAGTTTAGCACCTCACCATTTTTAAGAGCCAAACTGAAAGTAACTTTCCAAGTTATTCAAATGGAAACTTGAAGCTGCTATATATTTTCATTGCAAGTGAGAGCGCTGCCTTACCTAGAGCCACAGCCCTACCATGGAGCACCTGTTCTTGCTTGAATGCTGTCGTTCATTCAATGATGGGTTATTAAAAGGCAGCGATCTTGATTTCAGAAATCTCGTCACCCCATTAAATACTGCAAACATCAGGTCAGTCAGTGACTCTAGGAGACGCTCACGAAAGCAAAACAAACAGCTTTTCCATTGCCTTCTAAAGCTGGAATACCTTTCCAGAACCCGAGTTATATACAATCTGCCCCGGGCTTCGAGCAAGCCATGGGGAACACTGAACGCAGAAGGCGCAGAAAGCTCCGGTTTACCTTCTCGGCGATGCTGTACAGGACCTCGTCCATCTTCATGCACGTCGGGTCCCAGTCGTGCCCGAAGCGGATGACCACGACCCGGTCCTCCTCCGACAGGATGGCCTGGTCCACCTGCCACCCGTTGTGCAAGTGCGGCAGCATGTACGACATCCTGGCGGGCGGATGGCGAGCCTGGGGGACGACAGGAATGCCCCGGCTGCTGACAGCCCGTCCTGGTTCCCGCGGCACCCACAGCCCCCGGACCGACCACCCCCGCACGCCCCACGGCGCCACCTCGCCGGGCCCCGCGGCAGCAAGGAGTCCCCCGCCCCGCCCCATCCATCCATGTCTCCATCCATCCCGCCCCGCCCCATCCATGTCTCCATCCATCCCGCCCCGCCCCATCCATCCATCTCTCCATCCATCCCGCCGCGCCCCGTCCCCAGCGCACCCCCTTTCCTCGGGCGACCTTTCCTCGGAGATACGGGTGGCGGGAAGCGCGGGGGGGTCGGGACGGGAAGCGGAAATGAGGGATGGGCACGGCGCAGGCACATACGCGCTTCCGCCCCGCCGCAGGGCGGGACTCCCCCCTTCCCGAACTGGCAGGGGGCCCGCCTGCCGGAGGAGCCCGGTATCCAACCGGCTGGGCACGTGGTGCTGCCTGTCTGCTGGCCAGGGCCTCGGGTATCGCCCCTCGCAGGTGCGATGTGGAGCCGTGCCATGGGGATCGGTGCGGCCGGCCCGAGCAGTGCGGCTGGGTGGCACAGGGAGGATGGAATGGGGATCATCAGAGCCCAAACAACCGTGTCTCTGCTGCTGGCCACTCTACGATGTTAATAAACTCCCTGTGTCTCCATGGGATTCGATCAAGGAGATATGCCCAGAGGAGCTGTGGATGCCTCAGCCCTGGAACGGTTGAAGGTCAAGTTAGACGGGGCTCTGAGCAATCTGGTCTAGTGGCAGGTGTCCAAAGCAGGGGCTTTGGGACTAGATAATCTTTAAGGTCCCTTCCTTCCAACCGAAACCATTCTATAATTCTATTATACTGCAACAGAGAGAGCAGCTGCATGCATCACCTGGTTATGGAAGACTTCTCTCAGCATGTTAACCCACAGGAATGAAAATTTTCATGCACTCACCTCTGATGCACACACACTACACACAGAACCACCCCCAGCAGTGGCAGCTACACTGCCCAGCCCCTGGCAGATTCACCCTTGCATGCCTTTATTGCTCTCTCATCTGTCTTGCAATCAAAATGCCAGTACATGAGCACACTGGATAAGTGTTCCAATGGAAGTGATCAGCTGTGAAACCAGCATGTTTCAGCATTAGCTTTCAGAATCGAGCTGGCCATTGGGATAGGGCATCCCAGGCCACTCTGTTTGCTTCCTGAGAGGCGTTAGATCTTATTCTACACTGCACACTTCTTTAAAAGCTTAGCTTGCAGCAGACGGTGAAAACCACAGCTTCCACTATAAAAAAAACAGTACGAGCTTGAGCTTGGGCTGTGGGGAACAATGTGAATTTGTACCAAATAACTTTGCCCCATAATTGCAGAGCTCTCAAAAAACTATCAAAGTCCTCCTTTGGCTTTATCTCATTTCTAGGAAGTCCAGCGCCGGGGGCGGGAGAGGAGACGAAAGGCAGCGTGGTCTGATTGCAGACAAGCAGAGGCACCGGCGGGCGGTGCTCCGCGTGCAGGAACTTCCTTGGAAGCCGCCAGCTCCCGGATCGGCGGTGGTCGGGCCGGGCAGGGCAGGGTTAAGCGAGCGAGGCTGGGCAGGAGCGGGTGTGCCCGGCCGGGAGCAGGGGCTGTGAACTCTCCGCTCTTCCAGCTACCGCAGGATCGAGCTCTGAAAGGCACGTCGTAAGAAAAAAACCATCCCTGCTTAGTGCTTTGGTTGTTGTTCAGGTAATTAGTCACCTTCTTTAGAGAAGTTAGCGGGAGGAATTTATCCTGGATAACGCATGCTGTTAACTTTAATTGAAAACAGAGTTAGGAAAAAACATGTAGGTTTTTTTTTGCTGTGATTTGGCGAAGTCCAAAGTCATACAGCAGTGCCAGCCAAGAAATCTGCAAGTAAAGAGTTACTCAAGGTCCACAGATGAAGTAAGGCCTGCTTCAGTTAGCACTAAAATGAATACTTTAATGCTGTACTTTTTGTTTGCCCAGTTGTCTCAAACTCAGTAATATTTTCAACATTTTCTCTGCAATGCCAGGACCAGAACTTAGTTCATTTACATTATTTCACAGTGTTATATATGATTAGGATTGCTTACACACATAGAAGCATATAATCTTACGTAAATACAAAATATGAGGAGAGACAGTTTAAAAAAAAAAAGGGTGTTAGTGGTACTGCAAATGATACTAGTGCAAAACCAAAATTGTCATATCCTTGACAGGTGTTATAGTTAGCACACTGGACAAGACATCTGATAACTGAATAACTATGTTCATGAGCAAGGCATTCAGTCTGTTGAAACCGATTCCATTGATGTCTGGCCAGTCAAATTTGCCTTACAAATTCATTCATCAACTTGTTGTTTCTCATGGACGTCGCTGTCACAGAAGTGTGATTTACAAACAGAGGTACAGGACATGCCCATATAGTGCTGGAAGACGAACAATAAGTGCTGAGACTAAGGTTGGTATCTGGAGAGCCCCCTTTCTTCTGCAAGAAGTGTTTTTAGTTTACTGCTATCAGTATAATTTTTTAAGATTGTACCCAGTATTAGCAGAACATCAGTTCTTCAAACAGTGCTGCAGCCTGTTAATGGTTCACGTGCACATCAAAGACAGCTGAAATGGTGGCGAACTGAGCATGCCCACAGTAATGAAAAGATTCATTACATGCAGCCAGCCTGTTTCTAGTTCAGCACTGTTTCTAGTGCACCAGCTGTTTAAAGCTAGTGGCTTCCTCATGGATCACCTTTCTGCTTGTGCAGTGTAGGAAGTGCTTCTAAAATGAATGCAGTTCTGACTCTACCCTTCATGGAGGAGGAATTGGTGATGAAAGCAAATGGTGTAAAACAGCACTGTCTTAGTGGCATCTGCCAGTCAGTTGATGATGTCTGGTGCCCAGTTTTCCACCACTGTTAACAGCATAGAGGTTAATTGCCATCTGGTCTGAGTAAATGACTGCAGGAGCATCAGGTTTTGATCAAAAAGACGGACAGTGCTGTCACAATATGACATCATATTGTGATTTTATTGTATTGTATTTTATTCTATGTGTCATTCATTCTGGAGGATGAATCTAGTTTATCCTTCTAAGGTCATGTTGTGTGATACTCTCAGAAATATAGACTACATCTGGGAAAATTTGAATTTTCACAACCACATGGGGCTAACAACCTAAGTTTGCAAAAAATAGATGAGATATATTTCAGAACATGGTTTTCCTTTGCAATTTGGTAGCACTATTCATCTCATTGCCTTGTTTACTGCTGTTCAGAACGAGGTAGTATTATCAGAGACATTGTTTATGATGAATTGCAGACCTGTCCTAACACGGAGACGCCTTCAAGCCCATGTACAGCAGCAGACTGGAACTGAGGAAGAAATGCAAGTCAAGGCCAGGATAAAGCAGCATTATTGGTGTTGAGATTGTAAGCATTTAATAGTTGTGGTTGGGATAAGTCTGAGTTTGCTCAGGACAAGGGTAAATATGGTTGACAAAAACTTCCAATCTATGCTGACACTTTTTTGTCACAGGTTTGAATTCTGGTTACTTGCAGAAGGTTTTTGTGAGAGGACTGAAGCAGCAGGACATCTCTGCCCAGTACTGTGAGCCCAGAATAAATCAGCATACTGCCGGGGAAAATTGTTCTGATTCAGTTAGCACAACATCAGGTTTTCTGCACCCAAGCATAGGACATAGTATGAGATGGAGACTGAACATCAGTGGAGCACAGCAAGCAGAATTGTAGGAAATTAGGCACAACTATTGTTAAGATATGCAGCAAGTCTTCAACTACCGTTTTTATCAATAAGGGCTGCCTCTAATTAGACGGTTATCTGTAGAGCTGGTATCATCTTATTGCAGAATACAGTACATTTGCAGGAGTGTGGTAGAGAGAACTGGGCTCAGAAATGTCTGGGCAGGAGAAAGTTCTAGTATGAAGGACTGTGTTGTTGGTGGGAATTACATTATCACCTCTAGTGCTCTTCCCCACTGGTTCAGCATATAGGTGTGGGTGTGCTAAATTTTGCACAAGTTCAGGTACAGATCTGGATGTTTAAAACACTGAAGGCAAGCAGTCTAGCAGCTGTCTAAGGATGGCCCTTCATCATGCAGATTTGTTAGAGCTAAACCATTCCTGACAGATGTTTGTCAGACCCATCTGGGGCTCAGTGCCACCCTATGATACCTGCAGCTTCACCAACCATTAACCAATAGGCAAGAAACTGTGAGCAGCCTCTGTTTCATACCACTGTTTATAGAAGTGCATTGGTAAGTAAGGTTGAAAAGCTGCCAGATTTGTATGAAATCAGTATTGATTCAGGACTAAAATGAAATTATTTGCAAATAACATTTTGTAGGACTTGATTTTGATCTAAGAGTGCGGGTATTCCTTGGTGTTGCAGTCTAAATCAGCATTCGGGAAGAGTACTGGGAAATTGTCCAATGCACCACATTAGTACCAAGTGACTGTGGATTAAAAGCAGTATTGAGTTCCATCAGTTCCTGTTTTACAGATGTGAATTTAAATGATCACTATCTCATTGCTCCTTTAAGGGTGTTTTCCTGAACAAAGGAGTACCTCTTCTATTCCACTGTTGCAGGTCATGGCAAAAGAAGAGTTACCAGGCGTTTTGATTCTGGATATAGGAGGTACTCAAGGTGTGCTAGAAAACCTTGCAGCACTTTTGAAGAAACACTTTCACCTTATCACCATGAAGGAATTTCTTGAAAACAAAGAAGAAATGAGCAAAAAAATCCAATCTGTTTTCGTGTTTGAGTGCAGGCCAACTATTGACCGGGAGCTTCTAGAAAGCCTGCCTAATTTAAAGGTAATTGGAAATTCTGGAGTTGGAGTTGATCACTTAGACTTGAAAATGATCTCTAGCTTTGGAGTAAAAGTGACCAACACCCCCCACGCCGTGGCAGACCCAACAGCAGACATAGGAATGGCCTTGATGCTGGCCTCTGCCAGAAGACTAGTAGAAGGTAATGTTTTCAATTTTCCTGGATCTAGCTACTTCTTTGACATATCTCACTTTTGCTATGATTCAGATGATCTGTCTAAATCAATATTTGGGATGCTTTTACAGGGATAAATTTTTGGAGGCCTCAGTTTTCAGAGGCATCTGCTTTACATGTGTCCATCTTCTTTTTAAGGCAACTGTGACTAGAGAAAGGCCTTTGTCTAAATTATGCACTTTGAAGTCACTTGTGATATCCTGTTTGGAATAATGCCTGGAGATTAATTCTCCTCTGGCTGTTCACTGAGTGGGTTGTTTATAGCTGTAAAAAATGAATACAGAGTGCATCCAAATGGAGTGTCACCACTTTCCATTTCCCCTTGAAAGAAGTGTTAGGAGCTATAGTAAGATACAAAA